CCCCCCCGCGCGCCTTCCACCCCCAGTTCCGGGCCAGCCCCCCCGCCGCTTTCCTGGCGCCCGCCCCCTCCGCCCCCGCGCCGGCCGCAGAGGCCAGGGCCGCGGCGCGAGGGGACCGCAGCCCCCGGGCCGGCGAAGTGGCCGCGGCGAGGGGCGCGCGGAGGGCAGGCCCGTCCCGCGGGGCGCCGCCCCACCCCGGGCCCTCCGTGCGCGGCCGCTCGGCCCGGCCCGCGCGCCCCCAGCGCGCCCGCTCACCTGCTCCGCCGCGGCCGTGTTTACGCGGCTGGCCGAGCGCCCGGCCGACCCGGCGCCGGCGCAGACCCCGCCCCAGGCCCGCCCCCGGCCCCGCCCCGTGGGTGACGCCGCATTTCCCGGTCCTGGTCTGGCCCCGTCTGCTTCCCGGGTGCGCGCGTGAGGGTGCGCGGCGCGCGGAGGGGCCAGGCCTGCCGCCCATCGCGCGCGTGATCCCTGATCAACCTGACGCTGGGCTGGGCGCTGATCTTAGGAGCAGCGTTTTCCGGCTCTCTTCTCGATCTCCAGAGCCACCGGGAGCTCAGATGAAATGGAACAGGCATGAAATTGCTACCGATGACCTGAGAACTGGCCAGACGGAGCAGTTGTGATTCCAGGATTTGGGGTCCATGGAATGAGTAGAGATTGCCAACAACTTGACATTTCTGAGTAGTTTCACTTTTTTAAAAATTAAAGTGAAATTCACATAACAAAATTAACCATTTAAAGTGTACAATTCAAGGGCATTTAGTATATTCACAGCATTGTGCAATCCCTGTCACTTCTATCTAGTTCCAAAACGCTTCCATCACTCCAAAATAAAACCTCTTACCCGTTAAACAGCTTCTTCTCTTCCCCTTGCTCCCCCAGCCCCTGGCAATCACCAATCTACTTTTGTCTCTATGGATTTGCCTGTTTTGGATATTTCATATAAATGGAATCATACAACATGTGACCTTCTGTGTCTGGCTTCCTTCACTTAGCATAATGTTTCCAAGGTTGCTCCATGTTGTGGCGTGTATCACATTATTCCTTTTTATGGCTGAATAATATTCCATGGTATGTATATACCACAATTTGTTTATCCATTCATCCATTGATGGACATCCGGACTGCTTGCAACTTTAGCTACTGTCAGTAGTGCTACTATAAACAAGCGTGTACAAGTACCTGTTTCCAAGTCTTGTGGGTACATACCTAGGAGTTGAATGGCTGGATCGTATGGAAATTCTGCTTAACTTTTTGAGCAACCATTAAACTGCTTTCCACGGAGGCCGAATCATTTTACATGCCCATCAGCAATGAATAGAGGATTCCAATTTCTCCACATCTTCCAACACGTTATTTTCCATTGAAAAAAAATTATTATTATTTTTGCCTTCCTAATAGGTATGAAAGGGTACCTCATTCTAGTTGATGCTGAGCATCTTTCATGTGTTTGTTACCATTTGTATATCTTCTTTGGAGAAACATCTATTTCAATTCTTTGCCCATTTTTAAATTGGGTTATCTTTTTGCTGTTGACTTGTAAGAGTTCTTTATATATTCTGGATACTAGACCCCTACCAGATATAGGATTTGCAAACATTTTATCCACTCTGTAGGTTGTCTTTTCACTTTCTGATAATGTCCTTTAATGCACACATCTTTAGTTTTGGTAAAGTTCAGTTTACCTATCATTTCTTTTGTTGCTTGTGCATTCAGTGTCACATCTAAGAATCTATTGTCAAATCCAAAGTTATTAAGATTTACCTCTATGTTTTCTTCTGAGAGTTTTGTGGTGTTAGCACTTATATTTCGATTGTTGATCCATTTTGAGTTAATTCTTGTGTGTGGTGTGAGGTCTGGGTCCAGCCTCATTCTTTTGTGTGGGGATATCCAGCTGTACCAGCACCATTTGTTGAACACTGTCTTTTCCCCATTGACTGGTCTTGACCCCTTTGTCAAAAAATCAATTGGCCTTAGATAAATGGGAAAAACTATATATTTTTTAAAAAGCTGTTTAAATTTAAATTAACCAGACAGAGAAATGGGGGCAGGCCAGCATTTTGACAGATAAAAATAATGATCCAAATAATGACCTTTGATAAATTAAAGGAATGAACTACAATTAACAGAAAGAATTGTAAAATAATAGGTTCTTAAAAATGTAGGGGCACTCAAGGGTCACAAACTCTGACTCTAACTGATGCATGAACTCTTTCTGCAGAATCCCCAGGAATGGGGTGCCCGGCCTGGTTTGTTGCTGTTTGGGGAAATGTCAGTGTTGTACTTTATTAGGAGGTTGACTTTCAGCCCCTAATGTGAGCATGAAGACTCGTAAAATGAGTTAGGAAGTATTCCTTCTTCTATTTTTTGGTAGAGTTTGAGAGGGATTGGTGTTAATTCTTCTTTAAGTAGAATTCACCCAGAGAAACTATCTGCTCCTGCCTTTGGGGAGATTTTTGGTCACTAATTCAATGTTTATTTGTTATAGGTTTGTTCAGATTTTCTATTTCTTCTTGAGTCAGTTTTGATAATTTCTGTGTTTCTAGGAATTTTTCCATTTTCTCTAGGGCATCTAATTTTTTGGTGTACAATTGTTCATAGTATTCTCTTATCATCCTTTTTTTATTCCTATAAGGGTCATGGTAATAACCCCACTTTCACTTCTGACTTTAACTATTTGCATCTTCTCTCCTTTTTTCTTAGTCAGTCTAGCTAAAGATTTGTCAGGTTTTTGAGCTTTCCAAATTTTTCATTTCAGTTATTGTACATTTCAGCTCCAGTATTATTTCTATCGGTTCCCTCTTATAATTTCTCTTTGTTGATATTGCCTGTTTCTTTATACATGATTGTTCTCTGGCTTCCTTTAGTTCTCTGCCCACGGCTTCCTTTAGCTGTTCAAGCATATTTAAGACAGTTCATTTAAAGGCTTTGCCATAGCAAGTCCAACGTCTGGGGTTCCTCAGGGATGGTTTCTGTCAATTTCTTTTTCCTGTGAATGAGTCATACTTTTCTTTTTCTTTGTATGCCTTGTAAGGTTTGCTCTTATTGCTTGTTAAGGGCTGCAGTCATCCATTTGTTTAGTGACATTTCCAAACTCTTGTTGCAGACTGTATTCCTTATCATGTGCAGTCACTGAGGTCTCTGTTCCATTATCTCAGTGGTCAGCCACTGACCTGACATACATTTCCTTAAATACTTGGAGCCAGAAAAACCCCAAAACTAAAAGCAACCTCTCCTGGTCTTTGCGGATTGGGTCTAAACTGGGCACTCCTGCTGCTCTTAGCCAGGCCACCTACAAGTCTGCCTTAGTCTTTATTTCCTGCCTGCATGGAGCACAGAGATTAGCCAAAGATGCAAGCCTAGGGTCCTCTCTGGTCTTTTCTGAGCACATGTCCAGCCCTGGACACATGTGTTGCAGTCTGGATCCCCTGGTCTATGAAGTAGCCCTTCAAGCCCCTATTCCCCCAGTATCTTCTTCCTCAGCCTCCTCCTTCCCAGGCTTTTTGGTCTGTCTGCTGTTCATCCCTTCTGCCGTCCCTTACCCCACACAGCTGTGGGTGGTATATGTCTTTAAATGCTTTCCACAGACACCAGCTGGGAGGCTGCTGCAGTCTGAGAGGGCCAAAGCAAAGCTCAGCCTCTGCACCAGTCCTTCGGGGAACTGCCAGCCAAGTCAACGTGCACAACTGTTACTGAACCAAAGTGGGTTTGCTGCTTGGTGAGTTGAAATCAAAGCCTGCACCAGAAGTAGTGGTCATGCAAAATAAGATTTATTTGCAGCAAATAAAGACAACAGGAGGAATCACTTCCAAAGTCGTGGCCCCTGAGCAAGGGAAAACAGGTAACTTTTATTTTGCATGGGGAATGAATATTCAAAAGGGAGGCTTTGACATCACAGGTAGAGACGGGTATTCACTTGTGCAGGTGCAGTTGGAAAACATGCCTCCACATACATCGCATGTTATGGTGATAAGGCCTAAGCCCCTCCTGGGGCGGAAATGTTAACATTAAAATGAAGCAGAGGTAACTCTTGGATACCTCTCGGCCCCTCTGCGCAGGTGTCACTCTTGTGATGGGGTTTGGACCGGTTCAAGGCAGTCGGTGATTGCATCTCCTAACATAACTAGAAAACAATTTCGAGAAACAGTTAAGTGCTTCCCAAACCTCCTTTGAGTTACTTGGGGCGTTAGTCAGTGACACAACCGTGTTTTTGTGCCAGCAGGCTACGCCAGGAATGGGGGCTCTTGTCCCCATGGCTGCTGCTGGGCCGGGGGAGGGGGGGAGATGGCAGGCAGGTAAGCAAAAATGCTGCAGCACTTTCTTACTGAAATTTAGGAGTCTTTTTCTTCATGAATCACTCTCCAGGTTGCTGTAATATTTAATTACACTCCAGAGTTTCAAAAAAGCTGATTCTGTCAGTTTTTGCCAGCCTAATGTTTGCTTAAGTGGAGGGACCGATTCTTGGAGCTTCTCATCTGTCAATTTCCCTGACATCCCTCCTAAGTAGCCTCACTTTTACCACGGGGCACTATTGGTTGCTAATTTTTCCCCTTGATACCGTGCTCTCCTTATTTCTCTCCTTCATCACAGAGTTCACCTCCTCTGTCCATCCTTGCTTCCAGGCCTCGGTGGGGTTCTGTCCTCACTGTGCACACTCTCCTTGGGGAACCCAGCCACGCCCAGAGCTGCCACCTCTCTGTTGATGAAGCCCAGTGGTGAATCTCCAACTTAGTCCTCTCTCCAGGGCCCCAGACATGTGGACAACTGCCCATAGGCTGCTCCACTCAGAAATCCCACAAACCGCTCTAGGTGAAGCCGTGTAAGTAAGCTCTGGTTAACAAGATGGAAGAACGGAACGTCCTTACTCCCATTCTTCTTGGTATCTAGATTATGGAGGTGCTAGCCAGAGCCCAAGCGGCCATCTTGGACCATGATGACTATG